AGGAGAGAGATATTTAAATGGCGCTGTTTAATAAGGAGAACAAACCACGACGTTCATTGCTATTCATTGAATATTTAATACAATGACCTATTTTGCCTTTCGTAAATAACGCCAAATTTCACGACATTTTTTTGCATGCCGCAGAATGTGTATATTTAAAAAAAATAAAAAATAAAAAATTCAACATGTTTTATTTCACCTAATAGCAATATAAAGAAGACTTACAAACAAGTTTTACGAACAAGTTTTTACAATCAACTACTAAAATATTGTTTTCAAATACCCAAAAAAAAAAAAAAAACTATCTATAACTTTTGATCATCCCAAAAACTATCTATTCATTCCAAACACCATCCAAAACTAATGTTTCTAGACATCAAAAAACTATCTTGTCAAAACCGTCCAAAACGTTCAAAAAAAAAAAATTCCTGAAGTGCTAAACCATCTAAAAACTATACTTATATTCAAAACCGCTGCTGAGAGGCCTTTTGTCTTATTACGGCCATGTCGAAATATTCATCCCCTCAAGGGGCAGCCTAAGGAACAAAGAAGAGGCTCACCTCAACGCCCACTTTAAAAAAAACTGGCAGCTTGATTTGGAAGTCTCACAATCTGTGAGAATGAGTACAAGAAACACAATGGAAACACACATTTAAAGGTTGTAATAAAAACTGTAGAAACAAACAAATGTAGGACTAGTCGGTGAAGATCAGTAATAAACCAAAGAGCTAATATTGCAACAGAAGGGGATTTACAAAACAAGATAGCTCACAAATGAGAGGATTTACTTTCTTTGTCTAAATGAGAAGGATCAAAATATATTCGTAGCATCACTACTAGTCCAATCAACATTGCTCAATATATTGAAAACAAGAAAACTGAGTACTAACTATAACTATTCATGGACTGAAAATGTTATATATTAAATAAATAAAATGAAAATGTTTAAGTGCCGCCAAAGCTATATATTCAGAAACAATCCAGAAAGCATTTCACTCTGTAACAAGTGGAAAACAATTAAAAGATTAAGAGTTGAGGAGTGCTGATACTTACTTTTATTTTGCTTCCAAACAGGCCACTATGTTCCTCAACTAGCAGAGCTTATGCTGCAATTCACGATCAAAATATATTCGTAGCATCACTACACTAGTCCATCACAAGCCTCAAATATTTGAAACAAGAAACTGAGTACTTAAACTAAACTATTCATGGACTGAAAATGTTATATATAAATAAATAAAAGAAATGTTAAGTCCGCCAAAGCTATATATTCAAGAACAAATCCAGAAAGCATTTCACCCTGTAACAAGTGGAAAACAATTAAAGATTAAGAGTTTGAGGAGTGCTGATACTTACTTTTTATTTGCTTCCAAATAGGCCACTAATGTTTCCTCAACTAGCAGAGCTTATATGCTGGCAATTCAACGATCAAAAATATATTCGTAGCATCACTAACTAGTCCAATCACAGCTCAAATATTTGAAACAAGAAAACTGAGTACAACTATAACTATATTCATGGACTGAAAATGTTATTATATTAAAATAAATAAATGAAAAATGTTAAGTGCCGCCAAAGCTATATATTCAAGAACAAATCCAGAAAGCGTTTCACCCTGTAACAAGTGGAAAACAATTAAGATTAAGAGTTGAGGAGTGCTGATACTTACTTTTTATTTGCTTCCAAACAAGCCACTATGTTCTCAACTAGCAGAGCTTATGCTGCAATTTCAACAAGAATGACAAGTTGTTCAACTTGAAAGGAATCGTTGTGAGACAAAAAAAATTGATAAAAAAATTGGAGAGATTTTTGGCAGCATAAACTGAGATTAAAAATTAAATTACAAATGAAAAGTAGATTGACCATTACCAATGACATATTTAATGAAAGGCAAACCCAAAAATCAAGTCACAAGTAATACAGTGATGACAGTATTTTATACATAATCTAGCACTCTTTGCTTAACCTAAACTTTCATTTCCAATTTACTTAGCTTCACTTCACTCCAGACCACCATTGGAGCGCACACCTAAAGTGAATCTGGAGTTGCCCACTGAAAACCCCACCACTTTAGTAGCTCAGACTTAGAGCACAGTAACAGAACATGGTTGCTAGATTCAACTTCACTTTCAAAAGGGCAGACATTAACATTATGCCTAGAGCACAATTTTTTGCAAATAGTCAGTGTTTATCACCTCCCTTACCATTAAACCATAATAGATTAAGATAAATCAATTGCTACAAGAAACAACCTTTGAAATGAATGTCACAAACCCATTACTTACACATCAATAGCACACCTAAAAAAAGCAAACTAGTGACAGAAAAATAAACCAAAGAGAGTATTTTTAAAACAAATTAAGTCCCAAGTACCCAAAAATAACAAATGGCTAAACATAACAAACAACACAGAAATGGCCAAAGAATCAGATTTAGCACTAAATTGTAATTTAAACCAATACATCTACTACAACAAGAAGCTAATTCTCACTCAATACACTTCATATTACCCAGAAATACATATGATAAATAAATAAAATAAATATATATATAACTCATTTTTGATGAAAAAGAAACTTGAATTCTTGGGGTGAAGTGTTGGTTGACTAAATAGAAACCAAATATGCCCTTGAATTTAGAAATTCAAGTGATCAAAGGAAAGAAAGAACCAAGCTATTAGTGAAGGATTCCATCTATAAAACAAGGCTAAATGGTTATGCAAAGAGAGCTAGTTGATCTATATGGGTACTCTAACACCAACTTAAGAAACACGGAAGACTTGTCATCTAATAACCTTGCTGGACTATCAAACTCTGTCACTTGACCTGCAAAACTAAGTTTCATGAGCTTTCTGTTGGCATGCAGCAGAAACACTACATAGACTAAAATTTCACTGGGAATTAAGTGATAAAAAACTGAGAAATGTTCTAAAACAAATTCCAAAATATTAAACTCAAGTTTTGATGTTCTATAAGAAAGATTACCAGTTAAAACTTGGCATCAATGGATTCCAATCTAATAAATTCTGGATATTTCAAATGCATAAATATAAGAAGTGAAAAGGAAAAAGCAAAAAGAAAAATGAAAACAGAACTGTAATGGAATATGACCTATAAGTGACTTTGATACTCAGTATACTTCACAAGAGATGAAAAATAAATAAAGATGGACTGTACAACAACCTATGAAGCATGGACACTCCAAAAATGGTGCGTGGCAGTGTCCGACACGCGGACACGCTGGGACGGGGACACGAGGGGACACGTACGGGACACGCCAGATGGTGTGTCCCTTTAATTT